CAGGGGGAGAGGCAAGGCTGGGGCTGGGGGTCTATCCTCAGGCTCAGTCAGGCTCGGGGCTGGGGGCTGGGGGGTCAGAGGCTGCTGAGTGAGGGGCCGAGGAAGAGCTGGGTACCTGTGGGAGGTGAGGCAGAGGAAGGGTCAGGGAGGGGCTGGCCTCCCAACCACCCCCCACCTGCAACTGTAGGCCTCAACTCAGAGAGACCCAGGGGGCCAGAGAGACCCAGGGGGCCAGAGGCTGGATAGGACCCAGAGGTAAAGGCAAGCAGACAAATGCACAAAGAATCAGCAGACAGAGGGAGGGACCCAAGAACAAAAAGAAACAGGACTGGACACATGCAAGGAGATGAAACAGATCCAGAGGGTCAGAGAGAGATTGCAACAGGTAGACACTGACAGAGAGACACCCGAAAAGAACTAAGCAGGGAGAGAGACACCAGGATGGAAACAAGGAGACTCGGGAGGGGAGTGGGGAGAGAGGTAGGGGAAGAGGAAGAGAAGGGGGAAGAGGGGGACAGAGGGGGAGGTGGGAGAGAGAGGAGAGAGAGAGAGAGAGAGAGAGAGAGAGAGAGAGAGAGAGAGAGAGAGAGAGAGAGAGAGAGAGAGAGAGAGAGAAGAGAGGAGAAGGGGGAGAGAAAGGAGGGAGGAGAGAGAGAGAGAGAGAGAGAGAGAGAGAGAGAGAGAGAGAGAGAGAGAGAGAGAGAGAGAGAGAGAGAGAGTCATATAGGGACAGAAAGGGATACACAGAAGGATAGAGGGAGACACTCCTTGAAGAGAAAGCCCCAAGGAGATGCCCAGAGCTTGAGAGAGAGGGACAGGAAGAGCAGCCATCAATAAAGAGACAGAAGGAGGCAGAGTAATGATGAGAGACAAAGAGAGGCAGGCACCAAGGCAGAGACAGAGCGAGGGGATGCTTCTTACCTTGTTGGAGGGGCCAGGCTGGTGACCTGCTGGTGGGACTGGGCACTGGGCAGCCCAACCCCCCCAGGGGGCACCAGAAGGAGACCCCCACCAGTTCCAGCACTGCCATCAGCAGGCAGCTCAGGCGATGTCTGGCTGGGCTTGACCCCAGCCGCTACTGCGGCGGCTGCTGTGGCGGCATCTGGGTAAGAGTCCATATCCAGGTAGGATGGTTCTGGAGGGTCGGGGCCCCCCACCCCTCCAGGCTCTAGGAGCTCAGAGAAGGGTGGATGGTGGTGGGGCCCACCCAGGAGATGATGTGGGCCACCCAGGCCAGGCCCTAGATGGTGACTGGCCCCACCACCCACCAGCCCTGCCAGTCCGGCCCCAGGGTCCTTGCGAAGGGGTCCACCCCCAGGGGCTGAGCCCCCCTTGTCCCGCCAGGGCACCCAGCACAGCTTCCATGACACGAAGAGCGAAACACCCAGCAGGACAATGCCACAGAAGGTCACGATCACTGAGAGCAGGCTCACCGAGATGTCTGGAGGTGGGGGAGAGGTGGAAGGGGCATCCTATAAGGCTGGCCGAGCACCAGCAAGAGCCTGCAAGGGGTGGTAGGGACCAAGGCCCTTCTTCGTTCCTGTCTCATCTCTCTCCTTAATTCTCCTGTCCCTCTCTCTTTGTGTGCCTCTGACTGATTCACAAATGCATCCAGATGGATGGACTGTCTGAACGGGAGGTGGGCAGGCAGACGAGAACCAGAACCAACCAGCAGCCCTTCCCCTTTCCCTGATGTCCAGCCATCAGACATGACAAAGGTGGTGGTGACATGAGGGCAGGAGGAAAGAACATGGAGGACTTCCCTTAAAAGGGAAAGCTGGGGAGACAGGACAAGGTGATTATGGGATAACAGACTGAGAGTTGAAGATACCTCACAGGACGTCTGGTCCAAGATCTCAAGTTTACTAATGCGCCTCTTGGAGGCCCAGAGAGAGCTGCTTGCCTTAGGGCGACCAGGGAGAAAAGAATCTGAACCTCAGTCTTTTGAACCCAGATCCACCACTTTGGGGAAAGTTAGAAGAAGCTCACCTTTCTGGGCACTTTGGAAGTACTGCAAAGGCCCTTGTCTCAAAGATTATAGCTAGTGTGGAGCTGGTGGGGAAGGGGGGTAGACATATGGGCTTTGAAGGGCAGCAGCATGGACAAGAGTCTTCTAGGAGACAGACCTGCATCTGAGGGCCCGGGGTAGCCTCGCCTCCGCCAAAACTCCTGGCATTTTTCATCAGCATCCTGGAGCCGGGAGCACAGGTCAGAGACTAAGGTCAGAGCCCGGTGACAAAGGTCATCATCATAGTCTCCTGACATGGCTGCTGGGTATCCTGTCCTGGAGAAATGAGGGGGAGAGAAAGAGAGAGAAACAGAAAGACAGAGAGACACACACACACAGAGACAGAGACAGAGAGACAGACACAGACAGAGACACAAAGAGACAGAGACAGGGAGAGAGAGAGAGAGAGAGAGAGAGAGAGAGAGAGAGAGAGAGAGAGAGAGAGAGAGAGAGAGAGTCAGGAATAAGGAGTGAGGGACAAAGCTAAAGGGGATAGAAGGAAGAATATATGTGGTGATAAAGCCAAGAGATGGACAGATAGTGGGACAGCTGGGGACAAGCTAAGAGGTAAAGGATGAGAAACGGGGAGAGCCTAAAATAAGGTGAGGATACTTAGGGCAAACACATAAAGTTTAGTTGGATGGGGAATGGATAGGAATGAAAACTGGAATGGATAGCAATAGGAAAAGAAGGGAAGAGAAATAAGGGATGGATGGACAGAAGAACAGGAGCAGGGGAGTGGAGAGGGAGACTGAGATATGGTGTAAACAGGAAGGAAGATGACAGAGTGAAAGTTTAGACAGATGGTGGGACAGGAGGAGGCCAAACAGATGGGGACATCTAGAAGTGATGAATGAAGGAACAAGAAAAGGCCAGATTGGGAAACAGAGATAAAGACTAGGAAGATAGGAGAGGGGAATGGATATGGCCACATAGGGGTAGAGATCAGGGCTGGACAGAATGTTCCAACAGCTGGGAGAAGGGTTAAATAGAAGGAAGAGATAAGAGTTGGCTGGCTGGGAGGCTGGATATAAAGAAAGACAGAGAGGATGCTATAAAGATAAAAAATAGACAAGGAAAAGGAATAACCTAACAGGAAAATGGAAATAAAGGATGGGCAGATGGGAGTATGGACACATGAGAACAGACCCAAGTGATGGTGGGCAGGCAAAGGATGGACAAATGAAGCTAGACATAAGGGATAGACAGACATAAAGGATAAACAGAGGAAAGAGAGAAGGGATGAAGAGTGAAGGAATGAACAGAGAGGACAGACAGAAGGTATGGTTAGACAGAAGGGATGGGGAAAACAATGGCTAGATTGAAGGGATGGGCAGATGGGGGACAGAAAGACCTACAGAAGGAATGGTCAGATGCAGAAAGAGATAAAGTTTAGACAGATGGGGATTGAGGAAAAGGGACCAAAAAGGGATGGATAGCTGTGGAACAGAGAAGGGCGGGGGATGAGAAAGGAACAGAGGAAGGAGATAGAGGAGATGGAGATGAGAAAAGGGGATGGTGAGCAAGGGAGCAAAGATAAGGGGTAGATATACATGGAGACATGAGAAAGGATGGACAGAAATAGGAAACAGGCAGACTGAGTAGGAGAGGAAATGGGCAATAAGGTTTGCTCAGAGGAGGAGATGAGAGGCTAGCCAGCGATAGCAATAAGAGACAGGAAGGGTGACAGAACAAGAGAGAATGTGCAAGGAGACAGATAGGGATCAGGAAATTGGAAGAGACTGAAGGACTGTGATCAGAGGTGGCCAGAACAGGAGACAGTTTTGATAGATGGATGGGGGGACCAAGATAAGGAGGGGGTTAAGAGACAGGGGCAGAATGGGGGCAGGGTTCAGACAAAGGCTATATGGGCCAAGAGGGGAGTCAGACAAGTAACAGTGAGTGAAGAGAGATGACAAAGGTCTGAGAGAAGGAAGTGAATGGGGTACAGAGAAAAGGGCTAGATAGGAAATCAGGACAGGGGACAGGAAGGGGAAAGGGAAGGGACAAAGATGAAAGGTGGACTGATAGGGGAAGAGATAAAGTTTAGACAGCTGGGAGGCTAGGAAGGCAGCCCCCAAAGACTAAGACAGAGGGGATGGCCAAGGAGGGACAGAGAAAAAAGATAGACGGATAGGAGGGAGACAGTAGAGGGGGATTAGGGGTGACAAAAGATGGGGAAATGGACAAAAGGGACGGACAGAGAGTTTAGGGCGACACTGACAGGAGAGAATCAAGATAGACGGTAAATAGATGGGGAGACAGACGAGGGAGCGGCAGGGACAGTAGAGAGGTACGGCCGAAGACGGAGATGGGGGATGGACAGAAAAGGAGACAGGCGAGCACAGAGAGAGAGAGAGAGAGAGAGAGAGAGAGAGAGAGAGAGAGAGAGAGAGAGAGAGAGAGAGAGAGAGAGAGAGAGAAAGGGTGTGCAGATGGGAGATAGCGGAGGGGACCCAGTGAGAGCTGCTGAGCTCGAGAGGGACAGGAGCGTAGGATTGCGGGGGGCACTCACCTTATCCTCATTCCTGATGAGTCCTAGGGGGCATTCGGGGTGGGCGGGAAGAGCCCATTGGGGAGAGCGGAGGGGAGACGACCCCCGCCAGCCTGGTCCCCCACGTTCTGGGAGATGCCACAGGACCTGGGGGAGCGAGGAGAAGGGAGCCTTAGCCCGGCTCTGCTCTCGAGCTGCAGCCTCCGACTGGAGAGAGCCTTCTCCTCCCCAGCGCTTCTCAGCCCGCCAGCTCTCTAACCTCCGCCGGGATACCGAGTGCCCTGCACCCCCAATCAGCCCGCAGCCCGCGGCCCCCTTCCCGGGCTAGGGGACTCCATTTCCCAGCAGGCCGCGGGGCTCTGGGCCAGGCGAGTGGGGGGCATCCCGGCCCCGGAGCCTGCTGGGAAATGGAGTCCGCGCTGCCTCCAGGGCTGCCTCGCCGGGCTGGGAGCCTGGGCTGGGGCTAGGGACCGCTGGGAGGTTGCGAGCTAGAGGAGCACCTGGCCTCCGGAGGCTGTGCCGGTCTGCGGCCCAGGGAGACCGAGGAAGCCTGGGGGCTGGAGGCACCTGCCCCTCTCCCAGGTAGAGGACGCCCCCCACCTCCCCTCCCACCCCCAGGCCCTGCCGGGCCAGGGCCAGCTTCCGGAGGGGAGGGACCAGGGTGGGGGGCACTCACCCAGAGCTGGAGCCGGAGCCGCCACCGCCGCAGCCACCGCCGCAGCTCCGGCCCGGCTCCGCCCCCGTCCCCCCAGCCCGCAGGTTGGCTGCTCCGCCCCCCACCCCCCGCTCCAGCCCCAGCCTGGGATCGGACCCAGGCATCCGAGCGCACACTGGCCCTTCCCTCACTCCGGCCCCACCCCTGCTGTGCCAGGACCCAGGCGTTCTGGCCCCCTAGTTCTCTTTTCATCAGAGACCCAGGCATAACTCATCTTGGCGTCCCCATCGCCCTCCCGGCTTAGGGGCCCAGACATCCTGGCCCTCCAGCCTAACCCCCTCAGGGACTCAGGCGTCCTTGCCCCCTAGCTCTTTTTTCATCAGAAACCCAGGTGTGACCTATCTTGTCGTCCCCATAGCTCTGGTCCTCCAGTCCTCTCCCGTCAGGGACCCAGGCCTCTGAGCCTACCCTTAAACCTGAGGCATCCAGGCATCGGCCATTCCCTCCCCTCACTGCCCCCCACCCATACACTCACTCTCTCTGAGGACTCAGGTAATTAATTCAGTTCAACTCAATTTAATTTAATTCAAGCATGTATAAATTGCCTACTGTGTGCCAAGCACTGTCCTATGTGCTGAAAATACAAAGCCCAATCCCCCAGACTATTCCTGTTCTCAAAGAGCTCACATTCTTCTTGGGCCCAGAGTCTTGTCTCCCCTCCTCCTCCTTCCACTTAAGGACTGAAGGCCTGGCCCACCAGCTCAGCTCTTCCTACCTCACCCTGAACTTTGAGGACTCTGGCTTGGTTTGGTGGGTAGAGGGCCCCCAGCCCACAAACCCAGAGGCATGTGGGGTGGGGAAAGTCGAGAGGTTAGAGATTGTAGAGAGGAGGAGAGATAGGAACCAGAGAGCTAGACTGGTGGAGGGGAAGTGCACTAACTTGGCCAATCTGGGGGTCTGCCTTAGTCCTCTCTGAGGGTTTCATGCTCTTCACCTGTCATATGGGAACAATCAACCTGTCCCAAATTTCGCAGGACTGTTGTGAGAACCAGAGAGGTGTGGCTGGGGAAGGAGACACATAATAATCACAATTGCCATCTCTATGGAGTTTTAAGGTAGAAAACTTTTCCCTCCTCACACAGCCCGATGAGGAAGGGAAAAAGTGCAGAATAATTGCTCTCCCCATTTTATAGATGAGAAAACTGAGGTTCATAGAGGAGAAAGTAATTTATCCAGGGTCACAGAGCTGGTAAGAGTCAGAGCAGGGACTGAAACCCAGGTCTTTCTAACTTCAGGATCGACACATAGGCACAGAATCAGAGACCCAGAGACACATATTCAGAGACTCAGAAATCCAATATGCAGAGAGACAAACATAGGAAGACTCATATATACATAGAGACAACTGAAGATACATTTATATACGCAGAGACCAACATAAAGGTACAAACCCACAGGGAAACTCAGATACACTCAGAGAGAAACATACAGCGATGGAAATTCAGACTTACAAATACACTCCCCCAATGGAGGCATGCCCACTCGGAAATGTACAGAGGCACACAGAAACAAGAGCACATTCATAAACACACACACACACACACACACACACACACACACACACACACACCCCTAGAAACATCCAAGGACCCAGCTTAGCAGAGACAAATCCTGATAATCCTATAAACACACACATAGACACACCCTGAAATTCAGATGCACTCAGACAGTCTCAGACAGACTGGGACACCCACCACATACATACACACAAATCCCAGTGGACTGGTGGTCAGGATGCCTGGGTTACCCCTGCAGCTGTGACATAATTTCTCTACTTTGAGGACAAATGCTGAGTGTCACAGGTTGGGTGAGGGCCAGAGAGGGGACTATAGGGGAAAAGAAACAGTGACAAAAGTAAGGGATAAGACAGGAATACAGAGACAGAGAGATGTATACAGAGCCAAAGAGAGAAGGGGATTGAGCTCCAGATGATGAGACTGAGAGAGACAGAGAACAAGGGAAGGATTCAGAGGTAAAATTCTTCATCTCACTGAGATGGAGAATGAAGAAGACCCCATACACAGGTATAGTGAGCTGGGGGGGCGGGGAGAGAGAGAGAGAGAGAGAGAGAGAGAGAGAGAGAGACAGAGAGAGAGAGAGAGAGAGAGACAGAGAGACAGAGAGAGACAGAGAGGCACTATATACAAAGAGATATGTGTGGAGAGAAATAAAAAGATAGGAAAGAAAGCAATATAAGTCAGAAAGAAAGATATAGTTTATAGGATGGTGGAGAACAAGAGAAAGATAGAGAAGGGGGAAAGGGGCCAGGAGAGGGGCACAGAGACAGACACATACAGAGCAACAGAGAGAGAGTGAGATGGAGAAAGAAGGCCACAGATGCACATAGAGACTGAGACACAATCAGAAACAGTCAGAGACAAAGGACTGGTGAAGACCCAGGGATGGGCTGCCAATGGAGAGATAAAAACAAGGTCCCCAAACCAGTCTCAAGGAATGAACTGGGCAGAATCAGAGATTCACAACACACACAGAGATCACACACACACACACACACACACACACAACACACACACACACACACACACACACACACACACACACCCATACACTTACAGGGATAGCTGTACAGAGAGCCCAATGGATAGACAGAAGCTTGGGATGGTAGGGAGAGACAGAAGTAGAGAGACTGAGGGTGAAAGGCTGAGATGCAGAAAAGCCAGAGAAGAAAAACAAAATGAGGGGATGAGTTGAAGATAGCCAGGGACTGGGAAGATCAAACCAGACAGAGGCTGGAGGAACTGCCAGGCTGGGGAGACACAGGCAGACTTGCATTGTTTCCCGGGGTGTGTGACTCCCATAGAAACCCTAGCCCAGCCAGCCCAAAGGTTCTAATTGAGATCGGTCTTTGGGAAAGGTAATGCTTTCACTTCTAGTCCTTTTTTTTTCCTGACTGGATGCTGAGTCCGGCTCCCAGCTCCTACCCAGACTTTGGGGGCAGCACCAGGGAGGGCATGGAGTGACTGGATGACTGACTTAGAGGTCTGGTTCCACTTAAGGGGCTTAGGCAACTATTCTCCAGCCCCCACCTTCCCTTTGGTGCTCCAGCCTGCCCCTCCCCCTCCAGTAGAATCTACTTTCTGTTTGAATTTTTTTCTGTTTTGTTTATTTCTGAGTGAGATGGAAGTGATGGGAGAGAGACTGGGGAGAGAGAAAGAGGCATGGGAAGAGATGGAGTAACAGAGATGAGGAGAGATGAAGAAAGATGAGAAAAGATGAAGAGATGGGGAAAGATGGGGAGAGAGGGGCTAGAGGTGAAGACAGAATCAAGAGAGAAATAAAGGAAGAGAGACTGAGAGAGATGAGGAAAGAGAGAGAGGGTCAGAGATGAAGGGAGAAAGGGAGAGAGAAACAGGAGGAAGATAGGGAGAGAAGATGGAGTGGAGAGGGAAGAAAATTGGAGTGGGGGTGGGAGGATGAGACCAGACCAGTCACCAGGGCAGGAGTGGGAGAGAGATGGGGGTCTCCACTGAATCTGAGGCAGGAGAGCCAGTACCCCATGTCGATTCCCTTCCAGGTGTGCCCCTCCGAGGCTGCCCTGTCCCTGCCCCTCTGTTGGCCTGAGAAATGGGCAAGTGGATAGGTCCTGGGAGGGTTGGTTGAGTCAGGGCCAGGACCCTCCGTGACCTCCCTTGCCTCCCCACCATTATTCACAGATGCAGCAGCAGCAGCAGCAGCAGCCACAGCAGCAGCAGCAGCAGCAGCAGCAGGAAGGTGAGTCAGGCTCTGGGAGCCTCCCAGGGTAATGGGAGGCAGGTAAGGGGGCTGGCAATAGGATTAGGGTGGAGGTGGGAGGGGTCACCCAGCCTTGGCTACCTCTCTAGGAGCTGGGCCACTGTTTATGGACTTGGAGACCCCAGAAGAGGTGCAGGCCCGGAACCTGGGCAGAACCATCAAATCCTCGTGAGTTGGAGGGCCCCGTGTCTGGCCTAAGCTTTGGCTTCCCAGTGCCTGACGAGGTCCCAACTTGGGGGTTAGTAGTTATCTGACCTGACCTCTGCCCTGAACTCTCTGCCCACTGTTCACCAAGGCCCTTACTGGTTCCCAACTCTTGACCAGACTTCCCATTTCTGACCCTTGACCTTTTCTGCCCCCTTCCACCAAACTTCCCAGGAAGCTTCAGGTTCATCAGATCCTAGCGGAGTATGAAGCCCTGGATCGGGAGCTCCCATGCATCCGAAAGTTCCCCAGCCCACCTCCAGCCCAGCCCCTCTGCTTGTGTATGGAGACTTCGGTGAGGCTGACCTCTTTGATCCCCAATGCCCCCTCCCACCCCCTGCTGGTTCCCGGGGCCCCGCGGTGCCCCATCTCGGACCCCTGCCTTCCAGCAGGGGCTTCTGACAGCCCCGCCCCACGAAGGGAGCTCGTGACCAACTTGGGAACCTAGATCTGAGATTTCCCTCTCCCATCCTAGCCTGAGTACGACTTCACCCACCTGGATTTGCTGAATGCTCTGGAGGCTGAGGTGCCAGGCGCCCTAGAAAGTGGGCGCGTGAGCAGCATCCGGTTTGAGAACATGAATGTCATCTGTGGGACAGCTGGGCGCAAGGACCGGTGAGCAGCCCAGCTCGGGACGCATGGGAGTAGGGGAATAAACCGGCAGGGCCATGGAAAATGACCTTCAGACCGTCCGACTTACTGGAGAAACAGGGAGTGATCCCGAAACTGAGCATGGACACAGGGCGACTCTGGGACAGACCAGGGGCACGGGCAGCGACCCCCTCCATTGACCAATGACGCAGGGAGTGATCCTATGGCTGAAATGGCACCCACGGGTGACTGTGACCGAGGAGGGGCATGGGCAGTGACCTCTCCATTGACCAGTGACGCAGGGAGTGGCCCTTTGGCTGATGACTGAAAGGGAACTGGGGAGTGACCCTGTGAGGGAAGGAGCAGTCACCAAGGAAGAACACAGGGTGACTGACACGGGATAAGGGGATCGTAGGCTCCTGATGTCATAGGTATCAGATCACAGATTTAGAGCCGGAAGGCAGCCCAGCAGCCATTCAGTCCAACCCTCTCATTTTACTGATGAGAAAACTGAGGTGCAAAAAGCTGTGACCCCCTGCTAATTCTATAGGGAATGATGACCACTTGAGTGGGACTCAGGGAGTAGCCCTATGACTAAATAGGGACCTAGGGAGTGACCTGAAGACGGACCAGGGACATGAGTGACCCTTGATCCCCTGAGGCCACAGGGAACGAGTGACCCTCTGACTTGAGCAGGGACATGGGGAATGACCTTGGGACAAAGGAGACACACTAGGAGGACGCCAGGAACTCGAGACTCATCGTCACGGTGCTTAGAGATCCAGGAGATGGGGGAGGGGATGTGACGTAGGCCCGGACTTCTAAAAAACGAGGGTGAGGGAGGGCTACAGCGCCCACTTTCCTGCCGTGAGGTGTTAGGGGAAGGAGAGGAGAGAGGGCGGCGCCAGTCAGAGAGAGGCAGACAGTGGGCGGGGACGGCTGGTTCTTGGGATGGGGAAACTGAGTCAGCAGCCTCGTCGCCCGGCAATTGGCACATCGCAGCGGGGCGGGGCGCCCCGGCAGCCACACCCTTCCGCCGCAGGTGGCTCATCACGGTCACGGACTTCCAGACCCGCTCCCGCCTGCTGCGCTCGGGGCTCCGCCCCCGCGGGATCCCCCACCCCCTAGCGCGCCACGACGAACTCCTGCTCGGAGACTACCGCCTGCACCTGCGCCGAGCCCTGGCCCGACGGCGCATGCTCGAGGCTCTGGGGGCGGGGCCCACCGAGGAAGACTGAGGCGGAGCCACGCCTGCGCACCAGCCCCTCGGGCCCCGCCGGGAGGAGGGGCGGGCGGCCGGGGCGGGGCTTTAGGGGGCGGGGCCTCCCTAGAAAGGAGGCGGTGCGGGCTCGAGGGGAGGGTGGATACTGTGAGTTTAATTATAAAGAATGACCCGGTACAAAAAGCCATTTCTTTGCAAAATCGGGGAGGGGGCGGGGACACCCCCGTCCATTCTCACCTCCCCTGCCCCCCCCGACCGTGGCCTTGGCCTGGACGCCTGGGTCCCGACCCCGGCCCGGGAGGGGCGGGGGAAGAACCGGGCCTGGGCCGTGGAGAGCCTCGGGGCCCCCCGGCCCGTCCTGGCCGCGAGGGGAGGCTGAGGTCCGGAGAGGTCGGGCCGCCTGCCCAGGGTCGAACAGCTGGCCAGTGGCAGTCCGCCTTGATACTGCGCGGCTGCCTTGTTGACCCCGCCCCCGCCCCCCCAAGGAACCCAGGCGTCCTGCCGCCCCGCCCCGCCCCCCGCCCCCCACCCTTTGGAAGACAATTCTTCGGGGTTTGCTTTGAGGTTTTTTTTGTGGGTTTTTTTTCTTTGTATCACCTCCCCCCGCGCTCGGACCCCCCCCCGCCCCCTCCCATCCCACCCTGGGTCTCTCTCCCCTCCCTCCCCCTCCCTGACCCCGCCCCCCTTCCGCGGTGGCCATCCGGAATGAACAAGCCCTTGATAGACGAACACCGCGGGGTCCCCGGGGGTGGGGGAGAACAACGGACGACGGACATGAGGGAGGGAGGACGGATTCCCTCCCCCCCTTCTCCCCCCTCCCCCCAACCCTCCCACAAGATAACCCGCAGATCCCTGACGTGGTGAGGGGGAAGAGGGCTGGGAGCCCCCCCCACCCATGGACGGAGCAGCCCCCCGGGAATTTGGGGGGTAGCAGAAGGGAGGGTGGGCTTAGAGTGAGGGGGAAGAAAGGGAGCTCCCTTCTTTGGCAGCTGAACGTGTGTGTGGGGAAGCTTAGAGGGGCTGTCCTTCCCCCCCAAATGGAAGTAGAGGAAGGGTCCCTAGGGTAGGGGGAGGGGTGACTTCAATCCCCCCCAAGGTTTGTGAGGGAGCTGGTAGTGGGAAGGAAGCATTTGGGCAAATGGGGGGCAGAAAGAGGGTAAGCCATGCTAGAAAGGGGAGTTGGGGGTGGGCTGGGAGAGGGAAGAGAAACCATCATGCAAGAGACGGAGGAAGAAAGTGAACGTGAGAGGCGGAACTAGGAAGAATCAGCCAAGTGTAAATCCAAGAATGAAGTGGAAATATCTGGGAAAAGGCAAGTGTGCACGGAGGAGAGTGTAAATGTAGAGGAAGAGCGAGCGTGCCAAATGAGCAGGAAGAAAGCGAGCAGGGGCTCCAGAAAGTCTAGAGGAGGAGTGGGAGCCGAGAGGAGCAAGAAAAGCGAGGCAGGAGGCTCTAGTGAGCGTGCAAGAACAGGGACGGGAGAGCTAAGCAACAGATGGGGTGCGAGAGGGGCGTGCGAAGGGTCACCGGGAGAGGAGGAAAGGAGAGTGTAAAAAAGAGAACGGACCGAAAAGTGAGTGTGCAAGAGGAGAATATGGTGGGGAGCAAGGAGGGAGAAGAAACAGAAAAGTGAGTGTGCAAGGGAGAGGGAGACAAGGGTTTTACAAGAGAAAGCTCAGGGAGAAAGGGGAATGTGCCAGAACTGTGTGAGAAGAAAGTATAGTGAAGCAGTGTGCCAGGGACGTAAGGAAAGAAGGAAACGAGTATGCAAAAGAGGCAGGAATTTTAAAAGGCGTGCAAGCAGAAAGCACATCAAAGGGAGAGCACAGATCGAGTGTGTAAGAGACTAGAGAAATGATCTGTAAGAGTGGAAAGTGGGAAGAGCAAGAAAGTGTGCGGCAAGAGGCAGTGTATGAGTGTGTAAGCAGGGCATGCACAAAGGGAGAAAAGATCAAGAGGAGTCAGGAGTAGGAGGGTGAATGAGCAAGAGAAGGGATCGGAAAGCGGGCAAGAACAGTGTAGGAAAGGTCAAGGGAGTGTGCAAGGGAAGGTTCGGAACAGACCGTGAGTGTGCAAGAGAAGGACAGCAGAGTGAGTATGCAAGAGGAGAATGAGCTGAGGAGCAAGGAAGGAGCAGAAACAAAGGTGTGTGCGAGTGTTGTGAAAAGTAATCGATAAGTGTAAACGAGGAGCTGGGCCCCAAAGAGGGAGGGGAACAAGGAGAGCGTGTGTGCCACTGACCATGTATAAGAGCGGGGTTTTGGACAGGAGATAAAGCATGTACAGGGTGTGTGCAAGTGCAAATGAGAGAAAGAAGGCTAGGAGCGGGGGAAATGTGCCCGTTGGTACCAGAGGGGCCCGGATGGAAGAGCGGTGATCCTGAGCACGCGGAGAAGCCGAGCGTGCAGGCGAGCGTGAGAGGAGCACAGGGCAGCGAACAAAGGTCCCCAGGGGAGAACTGCTATGGGAGCCAATATAATGGAGAGGGAAGACAAGAAAAAGTGAGCGTGCAAGAGAGCTGGGACCTGCAAGCACCACCTTGGGAAGTGTGCAAGAAAGCAAGAGACATAGCGCAAATTTGTGCAAAATAGCAGCCCAGGGGAGGGGGTGGCACATAGGCGAGCGGGAGTGCAAAGGAGCGTGCAAGAGGCCAGGAGGCAGGGTAGTTTGGAAGGGAAGGAGAGAAGAGGGCAGAAGAGGAATGGGAGTTAGGGTGGGGGCGGGGAGGTCAGGAGAGAGATGGGGGTGGATTTGGGGCGTGGGGGATGGTCAAATCTGGGGCCTGGGGAGGAGATTGGGCACCCCTGCTTCGCCCCCTTCCCCTGCTGCCCAGGGAGCCCCCTTCAACCAATTAGCTTTGGGGCTCCCCGTCTATGGCTCTGCTATTCTTCCCTCCTCTCCCAGGGACCTGGAGAGGGGGAGGTCGGGGTACATCTTCCCTCTTCACGCCTCTCTCCCTCTGGTCCCTTACAGCTTCAGCCATCTCCCTGGGAGGGAGAGGGGTCGCATCTCTCTCCCACCTGCTCCCTCCTCTTCACCCAACACTGACGCACACACTGTCCAGGCCCAGCTGCCCCCTCCTCTGAGGTGCGCATGTCCAGTGGGATGACTGTCGGCGACCGGTCGAGCAAGTGTGAAGCAAGTGGCCGGCCCAGGTCGGGGGGAGGTGGGGAGAGGGCGAAGGGGAGCGTCACATAACATCTGGCCAGCATTCCAGAGGGGCGGGGCCGCTTCGCGAGAGCCCTCCCCGAGGGTCCTCGGTGGGCCGGCCATCACCTCTCCAGGAAGAACTTGAGAGCGCGGTCAATGTTCATTCGGTGCCCCACCCGGGTTACGCCCAGGTCCACGTAGTCCTCCTTGGTCAAGGCGGGCAGGTGGGAGCCATCGATCTCGTGGTCCAGGAAGCGAGCTCGGTGCTCGGCCAGGCCCAGCCACTCCAGCCAATCTGCCACGTCAAACTTGGTCCAGAAGCCTAGGGGCTTGGCCCCAAATGGCTTGTCCGGGGGCAAGGAGAGCAGGCGTGTAGGCGACAGCGAGCGCGAGGCCCCAGCCAACGCCCCACCCAGGCTTCCCGCCATCCCTGCGTGGGGGGGCACGAAAACGGGAGCGAAGGGGTCCGAGGCGCCCCCAGCCCCGCCAGTGGGTGAGCCTCGGAGGTCGAAGAGGCCGGGATACAGGGGCCCAGAGGGCAGGATGGGCAAAGAAGAGGGCCGGGGAGCTGGGCTGACTTTGTGGTCCGAGGGGGGCAGCAAGGAGGGGCTGGGGGCACGTCGGAGTAGAGGGGGGCGCATTTCAAAATCCACGCCCTGGAGGTGGCGGGTGGATGAAGATGAGGACGGCGAGGGCGACCCAGTGCCGGTTCCCCCAGATGCTGGGGTCACCCCAGACCCTGAGGGCAGTGGCGGCAGCGGCGGCTTGGCCCAGTTCTGGAATAAGCTGCTGACGGGTTTGGAGAGAAGCGAAGACGGGGGATCATCCGCGAGCCTGGGATGAGGGTGTGGATGGAAACGTTGAGGGATGGAGGAGATGGATTGGCGGACAGGGGGATGAGAGAGAGAGTGACAAAAAGGGGGAGGGCAGGGCTCGGGAAGAACGAGGAGTCGCGGGGAAGGCGACAAAAGATGAAGGAATACGATGGGAGAGACGGAGAAATAAATGATGCCGAAAGAGTGAGACAGATATAGTGATTGGGGATGTGGGCGGGGAGGGGGGAGAGAACAACGGAGGGACGCAGAGAGGTGGAGACCAAAAGGCAGGAGAGAGAGAGAGAGAATGGAATGGAGGGGAGAAAAGGGGGGGGAGAGAGAGAGAGAGAGAGAGAGAGAGAGAGAGAGAGAGAGAGAGAGAGAGAGAGAGAGAGAGAGAGAGAGAGAGAGAGGCCAAGTTACGGGAGGGATGGGAAGAGGGTGAAGGGAGGGAAAGATGAGAAAAGTGATGGAGGGACAGGAGGAGAAGACAGGATGGGGAAGAAATGGGGAGAGGAAGAGAGAAAGGAGAGATTGAAGAGAGAAGAGAAATGGAGGGAGAAATAAGAAGGATGGGAAGGGAGACAGCGGAACAGGGTAAAGGAGAGAAATGAGCCCAGGGGAAACAGAGTCGGGAGGAGAGATGTAGGAGAGAGGCAGATAGGGACAGAGAAATAAGAGAGAGAGATAAAGGAGAGAAGGGGAACACGGCGAGAAATCTCTTCCCTGTCCCTTTGGCACCAGGCTCTGTCCCTTCTTCCTCTGTCACCACCCCACTTCCCTCCAGAATCAGGTTTCTCCCCTCCCGTCACCCCGGAGGCCTCAGCTTTCAGCTCACCTTTGTCGCTGCAGGGAGGCAGTGCGGTCATAGCTGGGGCCTCCATGGTTATCCCCACCTCCTCCACTGCCTCCTCGGGCCCAGGGCAAGGCCCCGCCGGCTGCGGCGCCCCCAAACTGCTGCAGCTTGGAGCTCAGCTCACTGATGATACTGGCTTTGACTGTGGCCAAGGCCGAGGGTGGGGGCTGGGACAGGGGTCCGGGCAGCGGGGGCAAGGGAGGCGGGGGTGGGCCTGGCCCTTCCTCCCAGGGTAGCAGCTTGCGGGGCAGTGAGGTCGCCCCCGAGGGACCGGGCGCCCCATCGGTGTCGGAAGAGCTAGACGGCTGGGGGCCTCCGCAGCTACTTAGAGCCAGTAGGCCGTCGGCGCCGGCCACCGAGACAGTGGGACTGGTAGGGGTGGTCGGGTCCCGGAGGCCCCCGCTTGGGCCTGGCCGGAGGGCTCGGCCTCTCAGCTTGGATGGGGTCATCAGCTGCGGGGGATAGGCCGGGCCGACCCCGCCCCCTTCCCCGAAAGCCTGGCCATCCAGGTAGGCCACGTAGGTGTCCAGGAGCTCAGGGCCGCCCCCACCGCCGCCGCTGCCGCCGCCGCCGCCCCCGCCGCCTCCTTCGGCCGACAAGCTGCTCAGTGTGGACGCGCTGCTGATGGTCTCCAGTGGGTGGTCACTGCTACTTCGGCTGTCCACCTCCTCGATGCCCGAGTCTGTACCAGGTGGCGGGTCAGGGCCTGAGCCCGGGCCTGGGGCTGCGGGGGCTGCGGGGGCGGGCGCCGCAGGAACTTGGGGCCCCGGAGCAGGGGGGTCGCCGGGGCCGGTGGCAGCTCCTTGGGTCAGCGTGGCCACCTCGCTGTCGTAGGAAGTCAGGCTGGACGCGGTAGAATCCAGGGCAGGGCCGGAGGCGGCCGCCGGGGAAGGGCCAGGGGCCGGGGCGGCGGCTGTGGCAGTGGCTACGGAAGGCGGGTCCGGCAGCGGGGGTGGTGGACCGGGCGTGAGCGGGGATTCAGGTTTCTCGAAGCTGTTGGAGAACTCCAGGGGCGGGGGCAGTGGTTCGGCAAAGAGAAATTCGCCATCCTCCACGTCAACTGACGGGGCGGGAGGGGGCAAGACTAGCAGGGGCAGCCCGTTCTCCTCCCGGCTCCGGGGGGACAGGGCGGATGCCTGCGGGGGGCCCGGGGCCGCGTCCTCCGAGGGGACCCCTCGCCCGCCTCCCCGGGGCTCACAGTTCTCTAGGAAGCGCACGTGCAGGGGGAGGCGCTCCGAGTCGTCGGGGCCGCCTCCTCCCCTCCAGCTCTTCGCAGCAGGTGGGGGCGGACTGGGCTCAGGCCCCAGCTGGAGCAGCAGGGGCCCTACGCCTGGGGGCCCAGGAGGGAGGCGGTGCAAGAGGGAGCGGCGAGCCGCCGGGGGACTCGCAGGCAGGGGCTTCTCCTGGCTGCCGAGCCCAGCCCGGTAGCCCAGCTCTCTTCGCCCGGGCTCGGGGGGCGGGGCGCCCCACAGGCGCAGCACTGGCTCGTGGTGAGGGAGGGGGTGCGCGTGGTGGGGGTGAGGAGGAGGCGGGAGGGGGGCCTCGTAGCGGGGCGACGGGGGCCGAGGAGGGGGCTGCGGAAGGGCGCCGCTCCCCTCCGACGACTCCTTCAGCGCCCGCTCTCGGGCAGCCAGAGCCAGCCCGAGGGGCGACGCGGGGTCCAGGGCCTTGCCGGTGAGCGGATGGACCAGTGGGCGCGGGGGCAAGAAGCTGGTGAAGGCACTGACCCCTCCGCCGCCGCTGCCGCCGCCGCCGCCGCCGCCGCCGCCGTAGGCTCGGCCGGGCCCGTAGCCCCCGTAGGCGCCGCCACCGCCTGCCTCCAGACGCAGGTAGGGCTCGGCGGAGAACATGCCCTCGTCTATGGACTTGGAGTGGCGAAGGCGGGGTCCCGGCGGAGTAGAGCCTCCCAGGCCGGCTTCCCCGCCGTCCTCGTCCCCGGCGTCGGTGGACAAGAAGAGGGTGGAGCGCCGGCGGGCCTCGTTCTGCCAGCCCCCCTCCCGCCGGGCCGCCCCAACTAGGGCTGCCCCGAACTGGCTGGTGAAGTCCAGGGTGGCCGGACCGCTTGGCGAGGGCGGAGCGGGCAGGGGCGATGAAGGCGGCCCCGGGGATGGGGCCGGAACCGGGGAGGCGGGAGAGGGTCCGGCATCGGCAGGGGCCGGGGGCTCGGCCTCCGTGCTGCTGCCCTGGCTGCTGCGCCCGCTGCTGCTGGTGGACGGGGCTTTGATGATGATGGTGGGGATGGGGATGGAGTTCTTCTCGGCCGCCTGCTGCGGGGCGGCTGGCGATGAGGGCGCCGGGGCTGGGCCCGCCCCAGGGCTGACCTTCTGGGGCTCGCCTTCCACCTTGGTCTGTTTGACCAGGGGACCTTTGCGACCCCGGCCCGAGCGGGCAGGTACGTACATGGCGGCGCTGGCCGCCCGGGGCGGGAGCTGGAAATAACGCAGGGCAGGAGCGGGTGATGATCCCACGCCGCCCCCGCCGCCTCCGCCGCCGCCGTGGTGAGAGGGGGAGGGTCCGGGGCCCCCGGGAGATGGACTCGGGCCGCCGCCACGCCAGCCCCGAAGGCTGGGCTGGGGGCCTAGGGCCAGGCGGGGCGGGGGGTCGTCTGGGGAGCCGCCGGTCTCCATCTCCGGGGGGTGGGGTGGGTGGGCATGGTGGTGGTGGGGTTGCGGGGGCGGGGCATGATGGTGGTGGTGGTGTGGGGGATGGTGGTGGGCAGGAGGGAGAACGCCTGGCCCCGCGTGGTATAGACCCTTGTCTCGGCCGGAAGGCCGGGAATCTGGGAGGGTGGGCCCGTCAAAAGAGGCTGGGGAGGAGGAAGGCAGTGGGCCCCCGCTCCCTGGGTTGAATGCCCCAGCCCGGGGGGAGGGAGTGAGTCGTCCAGAAGAGGAGGATGGGGCTGGCGGAGTGCTGTAAGGGGGCTCAGGCGGGGACGTCGTCGGAGGTGGGGGTATATCTTCCGAGCCCGGGACCGACAGACTTCGGCTGAACTTCATAGCTGGGGGCGTCAGGTACGGCCTGTCGTCCTCAGCAGCCCCTGAATGGGCATGTGTGGAAGGGAGGAGCGAGTCAGGAGTGAGCTAGCCTGTGGGACCTCTCCTGCAAGCCTCTAGAAGACCTTATCGATTATTAGGCGGAGTGGGGTGGGGGTCGGGCAGTAGCTGGGCTACCTTACTCCGACACTTCTGGGCTCTGTGAATTCTACCTTGTGGGCTGCCCTCCATCCACTGGTGCAGATCACAGCCCCTCTTGCCTTAGGAGTCGCCTTGCTCAGTTGTGTTTGGCCAAAACAAGCCATCACCTGGTGGCCAGCCCTCTGGTGATGGCTAAACCTCTGTGGACTTGGCCAGGCTAGGCCTCAAACTGAAGACCCACAGTCCAGCTCTGGTTTAGTCCGAGAAGCCTCACCCACCCGCTAACGAGGTAGAACTTGTCGAGGCATTCCAGAATGACCCCAGATTGGCCCTCTCTGTGCCTCTCTTTCCTAAAGGAGGGATAGAATCTGGGCAGGACTGAGGCAAAGTTTTGCAAACCCCAAAGCACAGGGAAATAGCCGAGGCAGAATGGGCAGAAAGCCCGACTCCGAACCAGGAGGCACCTGAATTCAAGTCGTCCCCCCCCCCCCCGAAATCTACTGACTGTGTAGCCCTGGGCAAGTCACTTAGTATTTTAGCGATTTAAACAACTCTAAGACTTAGTTGTGGAGACTGGTATCCTGCGTTTGTAAAAGGAGCCCTTCCTCCTTATGAAATGACAGGGCCAGTCCCCAGCCTGATACCAGTGGGACTCGAACTGTCCTCTGGCCTTTGGTCTCCGCCAAAGGACAATTGTATCTGACACCTCAGAAGGAAGTAGAATGTCAGGACACCCCCCGAGGGCGAGGCCCAGAGCAGGCAGGAATTCCTAGGATCCCGTTTCTTTTCTGACTTTGGGTTCCCAGTGCAGTGTCTGCACGGATTTCTTTTATTACACCTGCTGCTTGCCCGTGAGTATGGGAAACTCCCAGTGAGGAAATTTCTTCCACCAAAAGAAATTGGCCCCAGATAGTATATCGTTTCAGAGAGTGCACCTCAAGGCTAGGCGACTGCTCGGGGTGACCCAGGTAGCGTAACAGCTGACACAGGGTGTTTGGAGGTTTGCAAAAAGCTTCAGAAATATACCGTTTGACCCTCACGACAACTCGGGCAGGTAAGCGCTATTATCCCATTATTATCCCCATTTTACAGAGGAGGAGAGTGAGGAGGAAAGACTGGTGGTCCCAGAATTAGATGGTACTTCAGTAGCCAACTAGACCAGCTTAGAAAGGGGCAAAGTGTCCCATCCGGGATCCAAAGGTTGTCTGAGGCAGAATTCAAATTCGGCTCTTCCTAACTCCAAGTCCAGGGCTCTCTCCACTTCTGGGACTCGAACCCAGGTCTTTGTGATTCAGAGGCCAGCTGTTGAGCTGAGAAGCAACATCCCTTCCCACATAGATGCTTACCAAGCACTTGGTGGGTTGAGGTGGCAGGTTCCCAGGAGGAGGTTTGTGTTTCTCAAAGAGCCCACCATCTTGGGACAATTCCGTACCTGACTCACTCACCTTTCTACCACATTTGAAGTTTGACAAAACCCTTTGCTCCCAATACCCCACTGAGATGAGAGCAGCAAAAAAAAAAAAGAAGTGACCATCCCCATTTAACAGAAGGGGTAAATTGAGGTTTAGAGCAGGGACATGGTGTTTCAAGGTCACACAACAAGTCCAGACCCCGAATCTTGAGACAAGGGAAGAAGAGGAGGCTCTCAGGATCTCAAGGCTGCCCATAAGGTAATGTCTAACCCTCCACCAAGGTGGCCTGCCCAGGCCCATTCTCTAGCCCCATGCAGACTTACCAATAGACTTTTGCCGCAGCATGAGGCCTGGTCCAGGGGGTAGGTAAGATGGCCGTTCATAACTAGGCTGGGAACGGTGATGGGGATCAAAGCTGGACTGGGAAGGGGGCAAGGGCAGGGCAATAGAACAGGTAACAAGTACGGAAGTTAGAGTCATGTTTCCTCTCTCCCCAACACCCTCCCAATTTTCCCCTCCTTCCCCAAAGGCTGCCTTAGGGACAGATCGCCGATGTCAGAAGAAAGGGGAAGCAATTAAAGATGGGGGAACCACCAATCTGTACAGGTCTGTGTCCCCAGAAGCCAAAGGAAACAAGGAGCCCCTTGCCCAATCTGCCATGTTTCAAGAAATAGCCTGGTGTTTACAGCTGGTCACCGAGGCTTCTCTGGAGCAGACGTTTGGCTGCAAAATGTCTGAAATATTCTTGGGAGTGGGAGGGGAGGGTGATGAATCCAGACCCAGGTGAGGTGTCAGCAAGGAACCCCGCAAACCAAAGCAGTGACTCACATTTCTGTAGTGACCCTGGGGCAAGTCACTGCACTTTTCTCAGCCTCACTTTCCTCATTGGTAAAATGGAGATGATGCCTTTAAGCATTTACCTCCCAGGGTTGGTAGGAGGACCCAATGAGATGCTGTTCAGAAGCATTTTGCAAACCTAAAAGTGCTATGCCATTACCAGTTACTGTTATGATCATGTCTCTGTTTGGGACAGGGCCTGCGATTTCAATGGCAGAGGGAGCTCCTGGGGGAGGGTTTCCAGGGCACCCAGAAGCCAAAGCTCCCCCAGGTGACTCACCAGGCAGCCCTCTAACCGCCATGATGTACTGAACCTGCCCTGGTACTCAGGCTTGCACATGAGAGCAGGCTAGCCTTCAGGCAAGGGAGCTGGCTTTTAAAACTCCCAGCTCTAAGGCATACTGGTTGTGAGGACACATCACTTCAGAGTTCAGTCTCAGGGCCCTCTCTAACACCAGAAGATGCAGAGCCAGGCCTGACCTGTGTTGGTTAAGGAAGTTTCCTCATTGGGAGATCACCACACCAAGGAAATCAGAGGCCTACTCCTTACCTCCCCAAATGGTTTGTGAATCAATCTCTCAACAGCACTGGGAGGTAGAGAGTGCAGAGAGAATTGTGTCATTTTACAGATGAGGAAACTGAGGCCCAGAGAGGCTGTGAGTTGCCCAGGGTTAAATGAATAGTAAGGGTCAAGGGGCAGCTAGGTGGCGCAGTGGATAGAGCACTGGCCCTGGATTCAAGAGGACCTGAGTTCAAATCTGACCTCAGACACATAACACTTACTAGCTGTGTGACCCTGGGAAAGTCACTTAACCCCATTGTCTTGTCAAAAAAAAAATAAGGGTCAAGACCTCGCTTCAAACTCAGACCTCTCCTTACCAAAGTCCACTCTGCCACCTTGAGGAGGGGCAGATATGATCACCTTTTCCTGGAAACTGATAGCTTGGGAACAAGGAGCGTCATGAATCAAAGAGGCCAAGCTGGAAGAATCTCTGAAGCCAAGTCCAAGCCCCTCATTTTATGGATGGGGAAACTGATGGGAAAGGAATCTGCCCAAGGTCACACAGGCAGTAAGGGGCAAGAACAGGATTTGAACCCATGTCCTCTGACTCAAAATCCCACGTCCTTTCCCCAAGTCAAGCAGTCAATCATGTAACACACTAAGGCACATGCCCCAGAACATCACTGTGAGTAAAGGAATGCTGAGATTTCCATCAAGAATAGTTCACTTGGGGGCAGCTGGGCGGCGCAGTGGATAGAGCACCGGCCTACAGGCAGGAGGACCTGAGTTCAAATCCAGCCTCAGACACTGGACCCTTACTGCCTGTGTGACCTTGGGGGAGTCGCTTAACCCCGATTGCCTCACCAAAACAAAAAACCCACTTAGATGCATTCACTGAATTGTTTGTCTTTGTCCCGAGGAAAGGTTCAAGGCAGATGGGGTCAGGTAAGGGGTGGGGAGGGATAAAAATACTCAGGTGCTGTGCAGTAAAGACAAAGGGCATCAGTGAAAGATGAACAAAAGAGCCAGCCCATGCCACTGATTTCCTGTTTTGGAAAGGGTCATTGAACTGGTGGGCAGAAGGAATACTTTTGATGGAGTTTATCTAGTTTTGTGAAGCATTTGATAAAGCGTCTCATGATGTTCTTGTGGAAAAGATGAAGAGGTGTGGGTTAGAATTCAGGCTTCTTAAACTTTCTCCACTTGAGACCCCTTCAGCACTTCTTAGACTGTAAGTTCACTCCCTTCTGGGGTAGAGCCCCACAGTTTAAGGCAGATGATAAAACAATTAAATAGATTCAGGCTTGGCTGAAGCGTTAGTCTTCAAGAGCAACCATTAAAGGCTTGATGTCAATCTGGACCAGGGTTTCTAGCGGAGTGGCCCAGGGGGCTATGCTTGGCCCCGTGATATTTAACATTTTCACCAAAGATTTGGTTAGATGGCATCCTTATCAAATCTTCAGATATTCAAATCCAGCCTCAGACACTTGACACTTACTAGCTAAGTGACCCTGGGCAAGTCACTTAACCCCATGGCCTAGCAAAAAACAAACAAAAAACAAATCTTCAGATAACACAAAATCAGGTGTGAGAGCCAACATGGTGGCTAAAAAGATATAAAAAGGCCTTAACAGATCAGAAGGAAGGGCCGAATCTAAGAAGGTCTAATCTAAAGGAGAGAAATGCAAAGGCTTACATTTTCATTCAAAAAGCAGCTTTCTATGTCGAAGATGGAGGAAATCTGGCTAGACACCGGGAGACTTCAGTAGGCTCTAAGTTCAATCTGTGACAACAGTAGGACATGACAGCTAAAGAAGCCTGGGGACCCTGAGGCTGATTAGAAGAGTCCAGAGATACTGTCCCCATACCAGAGGCCTTCAGAAGCCTTGTGGTCAGTTCCGGGCATCCCAGTTTAGAAGGGACATGGGTGCTGTGGAGGATGTCCTGAATGGTAGAGGGCTTCAAGTTCAGGCTCTCTGGGTTATCGGAAGGAATTAAAGAGGCTTAGTTTGGAGAAGACATGTGGTGGGGGAGGGGAGCGTGATCACTGTCTTCAGTCATTGGAAGGGTTGGCCCATGGAAGAAGGTTTTGACATGTTCATTTTAGTCCAAGAGGCAGGACCAAGAGCATAGGTGGAAGTGGGAGAGGATGATTTGGGTGTGATATCAGGAAGACCTTTCTCATGAGGAAAGCTGCCCCAGAATGGAAAAGACTACCTGGGGAATAGCCGGTCCCCCCTCACTCGAAGGCTTTCAGGAGACGTTGGAGGACCATTGTGGACAATGTGATAGAAGGCTGCTTCAGGTTGGATTAGATGGCCTCTGGGGTCCCTTAGAATTCTGGAATTCTGTGGATTTTGGCAAGTTCTTCCTCCCTTCAGCCCCCTTCTCTAAAAATGGGGAGAATACTCCTCAAATTGCCTATTTCACTGGGCCGTTGCAAGAAGAGGTCTTTGTTGACAGTAAAGCAGTATAGTTAGCAAAATATGAACTATTATTTATGTCATTAGAAAATAACTGAGGTGACAGGGGGATCATACTGTTCTCCCTCATGAGGAAGACCAGACAGAGCTTTCTTTCACAAATTGTGGCAATATTAGAAACCCTTAAAAAGCCAAGCAATCTGAGAGCCCCTGGACTATTGCAATGGCTTCCTATCAGATCTCTTCACCTCCAGTTTTCGCTCTTCTATTTCTCCTTCACCCCTCTGATGGGCTAATCTTTATCGGTAGCGGTCCCCCCCCCCCGCCCCCTTCAGTGGCTCGGGCAACTCCCAGCATTAGAGAATTTCAGAGTTGGAAGAGATCTTCTTGGCCACTTGTCCAATACATATGCCTAAAGGAATCTCCTCCACCTTATCCTCTACTTGTAAGCCTCCAACAAGGGGGAGGGGGTCCTTTCCAGGGTGTCCCATCACATTCTTGGATGGCTTCAATGCTTACAAAGTTTTTCTTTACTATCCTGTGTAAACGTGCCCCTTGGCATCTTCCCCCTTTCTCCTAGTTCTGCCGTTTGGGGCCAGGGGAACAAGTCTAGTCTCCTTTCACATCGTGGCCTTCAGAGTACTTGGAGACATCTCTTGTATTTCTCTCTGAGTCTGCATGCAAAATCTCTCCACATCTCCTTTGGTTGATTCTCATGGCAAGAACTTGAGGCCTTCTGCCATGCTGGTTGCCCTCCTTGGACATTCTCCACATTATCAATTTCCTTCCTAAAATGTGGTGCCCAGAACAAAACAAAATATTCCAGATGGAGTCTGACCAGGGCAGAGGACAGTGAACGATCACTTCCCTAGACCTGGAAACTGGGCCTCTCCACACAGCTCCTGTGCACGTTAGCTTTCTTGACAGCCACACTGTCCTTTTGACTCCTCACACACTTGTGGTCCACTAGAATCCCCAAAACTATTTCAAATTCATATCTAACCATGCCTTTCTCTAACTTGTGCTTGTGAAGTGGATTTTTTGAACCCGAATGTAATGATGTGCACTGAACCCCATTGAATTCCATCTGGTTAGAGTCAGCCTCTAGGCTGGGAAGATTTTGGGGGATCATGATTGACATTAAGTGTGTTGGCTACTCCTCCTAGCTTGGGGTCATCCATTTATTTTGCTCTCTAGGTCTCAGTTTCCCCACCTGTACAAAGTGAGAGGGTTGCAGTAGCTTTCCATTCTAGCACTAAATCTGATCATGCTCTTCAGCTCTATTCTTCCCCCAGAGCCAAATATGATCAGGTATTTTCTTCACAAGTTGTGGGATTTTTTGTGACACTGACAACAGACAGTTTCCTAGAATGCTGAGCTGGATGGGACCTTCAAAGCCATGCCTGACCTTGTTGAATCCAGGACCAATATGGAGCTAGCAGGAGAGTGTACAATTGAGGATTAGCGGCTCCTTGGGACCAGACCGGTCGCCAGGACATCAAGCAAGTTGGATCCATTGATACATAATCACCTGTGCAAGTGGTTTTACCCTAGGGACTGAAAACTTGGTGCTTTAAAAACATTTTGAGAACTGTATTTCAATATCATTAGTTTCCTTTGGAAGCCTATGTATCTTCTTTTCTGCATTTAAAAATATT